TGTTGAATTGAATAGAGTGTTTACCTTCCAATGGGGTGAACCGCGTTCGAATCTCAGCGATGGCTTGCACAGACATGCTGATGTAAAAAATATTCTCAGTGGTAGACAGATCATGGTTAACCGTGAAAAGTTTTCCTCTCTAGGTAACGCAAATGCGGGTTAGTTCCATATAAGTCCTCCTCGAAGGTTAATTTCTCCCAATAATTAATCTAGGGGTTCCCTTGTCTTCTGGATTGGGTTCAAAATTACAAGGCTACAGAGTTGAACATTGATAGTCGTAAACCCAAAATTGGGTCGGCTGTTCAACGATGGATATAAAATAAAATACTACTTTCTGCCCTGCTATTGTTGTTAAATTGATCTATGCTTCATCAAAATCAGGTTGTCCCCATACAAATCCAAGAAAAAATCACAATTAAAAATATTAATCTGGTATCAAATTTTTTTTATCCTTTCATAGTGAGCAAGTCTTTATTATCCATTTTCTAAATGCAGCAGAGGTGGAATCATATCTAATAAATGCAAGTAGGAACAGAAAATCTTTAATTCTAATTAATTGGCACTGTGGCATGTTTGATCGTTTTTCCCAGGCATTATCTTGAACAATTTTTTGTTGTTGTTGCTGCATGGTTGTTTAATAATTTGAAAATACTATCAGTATTTTCTTCAAGTGCAGATGATCCTGAATCTGATTGCTACAAATCCAATTAAAGTATCTGCACCATCGACTGCTTATTTAAAATTGCATGCTATGGCTTGAAGTTTAATTTTCAATTCATTAATTAATAGTTAGCACTTTTATTTAACAAAAAAAATCTACAGAGAAAAGTCCTTGTCAATATATTATCTCATTTGTCAGTACAGCAGTGTAAGATGCCTAAATAAGTGCAAGTACAAAATTGTACGTTTTGTACATAAAACACTTGTAAGTTACCTCAAAAATGTGTTTTACAAGTTCAATGTAAATTGATAAGTCCCACGAAATACTTTTTATTCATAAAAACTCTTGTAACTTTTGAAATATTTGTTATAGACTTGTTTTATTCAAATTAGTGTGAAAAAATACACAAGAGACAATATTTTACTTGTTCAGATAGCAGTCAGATGTATAAATATGTACAGTAGGGAATTGATTATCCGGAATCATCGCTATTCCGGATAATTGATTTTTCCGGTTTTCTGAATCGCTACAAAAAGCCGTTTTTTTATTGTTAAACCGAACTAAAAAAAAAAAATATTTGGAAATAATCTTAAAACCCTTATACTTTCTGAACTATTGTTCTGAGTATGGTTTCATTTGATTTAGAGTGAAAAATGCATCAAAGCCAATACCTAATTTTTTTAAAAATGTATTAGTATTTAAGTTCCTATCCCTATGGCAAGATTTCATGAAATTTTCACATTCAGCATGCAAAGACCCCCATAAACAAATTTCAATAGATCCTGGCTTGTTATTTTGAATACCTACTTCAAACCCTAATTTGACTGTATTATACATATTTACAGTAGTTTTATGGCTACATGCTGATGTAGATAAGTTTCCTATTGTATTTAACAAGAGGTAAAAGTGACATTCCCCATACAACAAAAAAATCTAATTAATATTTAAAGGGTATGCTTATTATGTATCATGAAGGTTTCTTCGACTAAAATAAATTAAAGTAATGGAAATTTAATACTATTTTCTCACAAGAAATAATGATAAACTGTTGTAAGCAAGTAATGAATGTCTTCTATATCAATAGTCAATGTTGACATCATGAAACATTACCTCTGATGGAATGAAATTTAGATAGAACCCATTAGTACTTTTTTCAATTATTTAGGTAAATATCAAACAATTATTTATCTTTATTTAGTAGCAATATTGCATCTTGGAAATAAAAAAGTATTATTATTTAAAAAGATATATAATGTAGATATTTTTTTTAAATATATAATATTTACATTATTTTCTGATTGACAGCAATTATATTTCTAAATTATAAAAGAGGAAAGTAAAAGTTTTTTTTCTTCCATGTTCTGCATTAAAAAAACTTTCTTTTACCAATCTTTGTTTTCTAAAGAATAAAGCAGGTTAGAGAAGAGGTTGAAATTGTAAAAAACCTTCCACTTTGTTATAGTAACAAAGTTTTTTTTCATTTGTTCTTTACCATTCCACTATAAAAATTCGAATATAAGATTACATTAAAAAAAATGCTTAAATAGTGTTAAAAATCATAATTAAATTCTTACCAAAAGCAAAGAGTGCTACACAACAGATAAGAACAAAAACCTTCATGGTGTTTTTTAATTTTATAACTTATCAAAGAATGAAGCTATATTTATACTACCTTTTAGAACTGAAAACACTCATTAATCAATAGGAAACATAAAAATATACATAAACAATAGCTACATGGTTCAACACGTTCTTTCATAGAGAAGCATTCAATGTATAATAATTGTTTTTATTTTCATTTCATTATCTACAATAAAAAAAAATCTTGTTTTATTGAGAGTTGAGTAAAGAACAATTTCTTTTAAATCTTTGAACAGCTGCGACTTGATAATATAATGTTTTGTATAATTTAATAAGATATATTTTTGGTGAATTTGAGAGCAAAAGAACAGATTGATTTAAAAATTATCTTACTTTGGACAAGGAAATTAAATAAAATATCATTATAGGAGAAAAAAAAAGCAACGTTAGCGCAAATACTTTGCAGATATGAATAGCATTAATTAATGTTTACAATTTTCATATCGTTTTCCAAAGATTAATCAAATATAAATTTTAATATTGCAAATAAAAAAGTATGCCAGTTTATATGTTAGTGCAGTAAAATACTGATTTTTTTACAAGAATATTTAAAAGAAGCAAACAGCATATTTTTATTTCTACCTGTAATGATAATAATAAAAAAAGCTGCTGTCATTCCCAGGGAAGGATTGCTGTGAAGTCTTTTTAAATTTGTATGTATGTCTTCTTTTTGTTAATAAGCCTTTACTTTCTGTCTGACTCTTAATCCACGGACTATGAAAGCCATAGCAACAATATTAGAATGCTGCATGATCAGTACATGTTTAACTGGCTAAAAAGTATAGGGTATTCCTTTAATTTGCTTGTAAGGAATTTGATATCTTGAAAATATTCTGAAATATACTTATTAAGAAAAGAGAAATCCAATGGTGTAAGTGAAAATTATATACATAAAACACATAATTACTTGACATGCTTCGAGGTAGTCATTAATATGAAGGCATTTAAGCAGTTTGCATTAAGTAAACTAAATTACCAGCTTCTCTTTATGACGTGAATTGCATGCATCTCTTTCTTGAATGAATTTAGCAAATTCCGGTATATAGTTAATAAAAAATGTGTTTTTTTATTTTATTATTTCTAATAAAAAGTGAGCAAGTCTTTCTTATGAAAAAGTAAAACAATGTGATGAATTTTTATTTTTTAAAAACCTTCAAATGTTATGTTTATTTTGCAGCTGTTTGTATTTAAACAATCATCTATTTAAAAAAAATAATGAACTTTTAACGAATAATGAAACTTTTGTCCTGTAATTTGATTAATATATACGGCAGCCTAGAACATAAAGCAACAGTTCAATATCTACCGTTTCTGATTAAATATGCTTATTTTAATGAATAGTTTTATAAATACTTTAGTGGTTAAAGTTCCTAGAAAAAGTATACTAAAAGTATAAATATACCATTTTGGCCACTTATATCCATAAAAAAAACTTCTGTTTATCTTTAAAAACATTCATTTCAATACTAATGAAAAGAAACACCATAACAAGCTCAAAAGTGATGCTAAGGAAAACACCGATTTTTGTTTGTCAATATTTCTAGCCATTACAAGATAGCTCATATGGTAAAAATATCACTAGAAACTTTTAATTAACATCAAAACCAAAACTGAAAGACTCACATTTAGATAGTGCAATCACTACCAGTTAAAAAATAGGTTTTATTCAACTAGCCATTAGCACTCACAAGAATAATTCACGATTGCAAATGTAATTTGATAAATAAATAGACTTCAACAGACTATCACAAATTGGAAAGATCAGAAACAATTTGGGTACATACTTTTAAAAAGAGGCTTGCTTATAAAAAAAACAGTCAAGATCATAAAATTTTTTCCAGGAATATCTCACACAATATTTATCGCTTTCTATAACTTGACTTTTGCAGAAGCAGGCTTCAGTGATACATTTTTTATAGACTATAGATTTGTCAAGTAAAATTAGTAAACGTATCATGACCCTTGCCTTTGATTTGTTGTAAAACAAGATCAGTGCTTTGAAATTGACATTCCAACCAGAAAACTGCCTTTTTTTTTAAACAGCTAAGATGTTGCATAAAAAGGGTAGAATATAATGTTTTTGTAGAATATAACATGAAAAATTAAGAGGAAAAAGTATTCTTTTCATCTATTTCAATATAAATTTACACAATTATGATAATTAATGTCGACGTAAAACAAAAACAATATAAATTTACCTGAAGCAAAATTAATAACCTGGTTCTGTATCATAGTTTTTAAGCTGCTGTCCTCTGCCCATAAAAAATATAAAGACAAACTACGCATTTATACTTTCTATAAAAAAAAGTGTACAGTAACTTGTGATGTAAATTATTTTCAAGTAAGTGTTTATGAACATCTATTTATTGTAAGTTGTAGGAAATTTGAGAACTTGAACAAAAACATATTTTTATACTTTATAACAAGGATTATAAGAGTAAGATAATCATAAATAAATATTGTATTTGTAAAATTAAATTTTACTTTACAATTCATTAGAAAAATAGTGAAGAGCTCAAGAATACAGATTAAAATATTCTATTATTTTTTTATCTATTTATCATTAAGAGATTGAGAATAAAATAATTCAAACTTTAAAAATCATAGCTAAAATTGAAATAAGGAATTTGATTTTGTAAGTTCAATTTTAAAATTTATTAATCATGACAAAATGTAACACAAAAGAAATCTGAGTAAAAAGCCATACATATTTTTATTGAAAATATATACAAAACTTTTCCAAGAAACTGGTAATATTTGCTCTAGGTATTACATAAAAGCAAATTAAAAAAGTTTATGACACAGTTTTTTTTCCGTAAGTTTCCCAACAACAGAAAAATACTATATAAAGAAGTTAAAATATAAGCAAAGTACAAAGATCAAACATGTGTTACTCTACTAAATCTACACAGCTAATGCCACTTTAAATACAGTAGTAAAATATGACACAAAAGCGATTACAAAAGAAATCGAATTCAGCTTGCTAATTACAACTTGAAAAATATGTTCACAAAATCTACAATGAAACAGAACACTACACATTGCTGACATTAAGATTGCGATTATTCATTTGCAGCATGAATCTTTTATTTTTTCGTACACCGTGCAAGACTTCTCTGGATTGAGCCCTGAATAAAAAAAAAATTAAGAGATCATTAGCATTAAAAAACAATTTGTGAAGCTTCTTTTGTAAACTAAATAATTCACAATATACTCAAATTAATAAAAATTCCTTATTATGAACAACACAATAATAAGAAATTGATCTTCTAACATTGCTCAATTTAAGAATTAAAATCTCCAAGCACTTTTTCCGCAACAACTATCAAACACATTAAATTTGTCAGCTACTTTTTCAAAATTATTCTTCGTCTCATTTGAATAACTCTTGTGTTTGAGCGTGATGTTTCATAATAAATTTCCTCAGTGTCACTAAATTTTTATTGTCATTTAACTCAACAATTACTGGAATATAAATAGTTAATAATGCTCTTTTATATATAAAAAAATAAGTTAATTTTTTGCAAAGCAGAATTCTTAAAAAATTTACCAGCTTTCTGTTTAGAATTCAGAAATATAAAATTTTATTAACCTTTTCGTTATAATATCATTTATTACATTTTATGTAGTTTGTTAAATTTCAATTAAGTAGACAAAGTAGTACCTTTAAACATACATATTGACAATACTAAGTCACTAATTAATTGAAAATATATCTACTTTTTTGAACAGCATTTAAGTGTTTAACATCATTTCATAAGCCTGATCAATTGACTTCTTGTTAACATATGCTTGTAATGCACTAAAACTACCTTCTGTTATGCTTAAAAGAAAATAAAAATGCTTGATTTTCTTACCTAGCTTTAGCCAAAACTACATTTTTTGTTTCAACCTTCTGTGCAGCACGCACTGAAGTATTAGCAACAGTACTGTTCAAATTTATTTCATTTAATGGTCTCAGGGGTCCAGAGTGAGGTTTGTAGGGCAGCTTCCTAGCAAGACTTGCTCTAAGATCAAACTTGCGCCTCTGCATCAGTGGAGTATTTTCAATAGACGCAGATTTGATTGCTTTCACTTTACCTAAGAAATAAAAGGAAATTGAAACATTCATCAAAATCAAGAACATACTGAATTTTTTAAAAAAAACAAAAACATCCAAACAGCTCCTTTTATTTCAAAAATTAAATATTTCATAATTCAATGAAATTTAAATTGAAAACAGATTAATAGACTACAAAATTACAGGAATTAATCCAGCAAAAAAATTGGGTTTGTTTAGGGAAATGAAATTTCAGACCCAGTCCATTTGAATTATTTTTGCAATTAAAGGTTTATATATTGCTAATAACTTTTAAATGAAAAAAAAAAAAAGTTTTCCATAAAATTATATATTTTATAGAAATACATCCTTTGAATAATAAAAATACTTTTTACAAAAAGCTACATTTTTCTTTCCTAAAATTCTAAAAACAGGACCTGATCTCTCCAAAAATGTTGGATTAATCTCTTTATTCAGAGAAATCAAATAAATTCTAGACAAGAGATTATTATTCAGTAACTGCCCTGATTTAGATCAGCAGTTCCCAATATTTTTTCTGTTATAGAACCCTAGAATATAGACTTCCTTTTGGGGTGCCTGAACTTCATAAATAAAAATCATTGGAGGTTCAGCATATGAAAGGCTACAACTTACAAATTTGAACATATTTAATGTGGAAAAAGAACTTTTTCATTCATTAATAATAGTCTTGAAATTGGATTTTATGATTTTTTAGATGAGATTAGTGTCTAGTCAATTTATGATTTTATTTGAGATACATGCATAGCTTGGAAATGAATAAAATAACCTAAATTTTTTTTTGTTGCTGAAATAAAAACAAATAAGAAATGTAATGTTGAGAATAGTTTTCAGGAAAATCTATTTCTCTTTAGTTAAGTTTCATTATTTTGAAAATTCGATGGAAAATACTAATTTTAACTTTTTTATAAAGGCATATTCTTTTCATAAATTTATTGTTGTTAGATTTTTTTAAAAATTTTGTAGTTTTTCTAAAATAACTTCCTAAAAAATAATCAAAATGTTGAATAATGAATTTACTGGATGAAAAGTCCCAATCTTTAGTTTCAATCCTTCTACTGAACTTTAGGGTTCCTCAGAACAATTTTTGAGAACCACTGTGACAGAGAATTATTGACATTGTTTTAACATAACTCTTTTAACAGAGATTGCTATAAGCTTGTTCAACCTGAGGTCAAATGTTCATGTTAATTGATAAATGTGCAGCTCTCCCACATAATAATAAATAACCAACATAAATTACAACATTAATAATCTAAAATGTAGAAGAACTAATTAAAGGGAGTTGAAAGATTCAAAGTTTTAAAAACTTAAAAAAAAAAAGATTTATTTAAAAATTAAATTTTCTTGCTAAAAGCCTGATATAAATAAATTTTTCAAAAAATATTTAAAAAAAAAATAATAATAATTTTTTTTAACTTGAGTCAAACTATTATTATTTTTTCATGCTCAGGAACAAAGCAAACATCAAAAGGAAAAAATTTAATAGATTTCATATAATAATATAAATACAAGGCTTACTTAGCTTAATATCTAAAATATTTCAAATAGGCAATTTAGGAATTTTTATGGCCCATTAAATTCACAATCTCTATCAGTCAAATAATAATAAATTTAAATTGACAGTAATAGTTTCTTTTTATGATTGGCATTAAATGAATTTGAATATAAAATATCTTTACAATTTTTATTACATTATCATGTTTACTAATAATTTCAAAGAGTAATAGATACTTAATTCACTTTAGATACATAGCCATAACTGGCTAACTCTAAACTCTTCCCTGAAACTGCAAAGTGATATTCACAGTCAACAGTTGTTACATGTGGCTGTTAAAGTTTCTGTATGGATATCATGCTAGGATCTATATCAATTAATTTAAAAACAGAAATTGAAAACTGCAAATGCACTTCATAATTAAGCATTAATTACTTATTGAAATAAAATGGGTAAAAATGGCAAGCAAAAAAATGGGCAAAAATTAATTTTGATAGGGAAACTAATCTCCCTTTTAAAGAATTTTTTTTTAAATATAAAGAAATCAAAAATGGCACAATTCAGTAATGTACTATATAATTCAGTAGTATTGGAAGTTAAGTAGAAATAATTAAGTTATTATCAATTGATAAACTGGAATAAGCAAGACTGAACCAAATGCAAATGACATAACACACACACTTTGATACAAAATCTAATGGTGTATACATGAAGTGAAATCTGGATTAAGCAGACACTCTTAGGATTGAAAAAAATTGTCAGTTTACGGGAAGGGTACACCAATTACAAAGCTCATGTCATAAAGTGTTTTCAGACCAACTGCAATGATACAGAAATAACTAAATTATCTATAATAACTATTTATACTGACTTTTATTTAAACTGAACAAAATTATAATATTTACAGTACATACAAAAATTGAAGAAATTTTAAACACGCCTCTTTATATTCACACGATTCTTTTCCAGCTGAAAAGAGATGCGGTAGAAATTTGTTTAAGGCGGCTATGGCTTACCATATTTTCATAGTACATATTTAAATCATTTGGCTTTTTTACTTAGCCATTTAGCATATTTTCAATTTCATCATTTTTGGATAGATAAAAATGTCCCAGCCCCACAATATAAGTATGAGTGCACTTAAAGTTTTCACTTTTGGTGAAAGCAAAAAACTTAAGGGCACGGTAAAAGTCCATCTACATCATCGCAAGATCTAGGACTGCACTGAGTGAAAATTTTTTGGCACTGGAAAATTAGCTAGAAAAATGAACTTAAGAGTGAATGTGGAGAAAACAAAATATATGTATTGTGGTACAATGGAAACCATCCCTAAATTGCTTGAAATATATTCTTTTAAATTCGAATCTGTAAAAAATTTTACTTATCTAGGATCAGAAATAAACTATCAAAATGACATTAATCCTGAAATCAGAAAAAGAATAATCACAGCCAATCGCTGCTATGATTTAAGATCATTGTTGAAATCTCACTTAATAAAAAGAAAGACGAAGATTTTACTTTATAAGGTATTAATCAAGTCAGTTTTGACTTATGCTTCAGAGACACGGACTTTAACAAAAAGGGAAGAGAAGTTATTAGCAACCTTTGAAAGGAAGGTCCTACGAAACAACTTTGGCGCTATACTCGATAACAACTGGAGAAAAAGATATAAGAGTTTATGCACTCCTCTTTTTTAAACAAGAAAAGCATTAAAAATATCATACCTGCCAACATTGGAGAAATAAAATAACAGAGATTTTACAAGCGACATTTTTGGTACATTATGCATAATCACGTAAGTCAAAAAGAGAAATTCAAAATTGGAAATAATATGAGCTTTTTTATTTAGTGAAGTAAGAAATATGTAAATAAATTTTAATCCAAAAAAAAAAATTTCCTTTATACAATTATTCATTCGCGCAGTGGACTGATCGTTAAGACACGGTTCCCAGCAGATCACCGAAGTCAAGCATCACTGGCTGCGGTCAGTGTGCGGGTGGGTGACCACTTGGATCAGCCGGCGTAGGGACCGAGGGTGTGCGGTATTGGTCCTCTTTAAACTGCTCTACCGTAAAGTGCTCGACTTCGCGTGCAGGTCGTCGGGCTACCGAAGCGGGGGTGCCACCCCCTCCGCAGAGGATCAAAATTGTGATGGCATGTCTTCGGATCATCCTCAGGGATGTTTCCCAGACCGTCGCCAATAGCCCATTGTGCAGCTGTAGTGCGACGTAAATGAACAACAACAACAATTATTCATTATTATTTATACTATAAACACTCAACATTAAAAATTTTTTCACAACTCTAAGTAATTATCCTTATTTAACAGAACTTTTACATATTCATATTTCAAACATAAGTAGCAGATTTGGTTTTGCATAGAAATTATTATTATTTTTTTTATCAAAGCTCTGTTCATAACTGTTACCAGAGAAATCACTTTTCATTAAAAGTAAGATTTCAAGCTTTTCATCAGAAAGTAATGAGCGAAATTGGGAGCAAATTTTTTAAACTTAGAGAAAATTCTCTTGCGCTCAGAATTGGAACTGTTTCTTTCTTTTTTTAAAATTTTTATATACAGTTAATTTTCTAATTGCCGCCCAATTGACACCCACAGTAAATGATTCTAAAAAAAGAAACATATTTATGTTTTGACGATCATTAAAAATGCAATGCAAACAAACTAAGTTATTGTCAGATTCCTGTAGGTAAATAAAAGTTTCTTATGGAGAAAAACAATTCCCTGAATAAACATTCATAGCAGTATTTCTACTACATTCAGTTTGGTCTATGTGGCAGAGCAGGAACTGCAGTACTGGCAATAGTGCCATCTGTTGAGGAATAAGAAAAGTATTTTTGCTATTAGCGGATATTTATCACTAAAAAAACGTTGCCGTAAAATTTTAAAAAATACGGATTAACATGAGATAGTCGCAAAATATAAGGGTGTCTTCGTTAAAAACAGGAGCCTTGGCAGGTATTATAACAAAATTATTATGACAATAATTTTATTAATAGAAAAAAAAAACACAACTAACCTGCTTTAGCTAGAAACTTTCCATTTATACCTTTCGTTGCCTTAGTAGTTTTCTTAGCTTCGATTTTCATTTTGAGATCAGACTTCCTCAATGGTTTTGTAGTAGCAGCAGAGGGTATGAAAGAAATGCCACTAAATACTTTTGATGTCTTCTTTAATTTCGTATCCATTGAAGCCTTCATTGGCTAAAAACAATTAATAAAAAAACCAAATGTAATAATTCTTTGATTTCAGACGTTTTAGGCAAAAATGTAAAGTTTTTTTTTTAAAAAAAAAAAAACTCATTTTTTCATATCAAACGAAAAATAAATGCAGTAATTAAGTTGATGTGATAGGATATTTTTAGTCTCTAGGACTAAATTTTAAACAGCAAATTTGTGACTTAATAATTTACAATGGAGTGTCCATTATTTGTACCTGTTCGATTATCAGAAATCTAGGTAATAAAACAACTTAAGAAAATGGCTATGGCACAACTCCTTTTTGTTTTTAAGACAAGTTATATGAAACTTTAAAAAAAAAAAAAATCATTGTTTTATTACAGGAGAAAATGGGTAGAACAAATGCTTGCAAGGATAAACAATCCGTCTCCTTCTACAAAAAAATTCAATTCACTCCAGAAAGTCTGAAATAAGAGGCAGACTTTCATGATAAATTCAGAAGGTGGGAAAAAATTTTGGTTAACAGCTTCCCTTACCAATTTCTTTTGAAAAAAAAAAAAAATCTATATTTTCATTTTATTAATAAATACAAGGAACTAAAACAAAACACAATACAAAAGTTTTAATTTGAAATTTGAGTGTAAAAATCATTTAATTTAATATTAGTTTACTATCATGAGTTCGGACAAGTGAAAAAAGTAAAATATTCGCATTTGATAGTTTTCAAAACAAGGGACAACACAAAGTAATTCTTTTCAAATGCCAGCAAAGTGACATGCCATTTTGTTTAAAACTCTTTTTTCGATATAAATTCAGCAACCATCGCAAATACGATTCCACAAAATACGTGTGCAGTCTCACAATCCAACAGCAAAACCTCCAAATAAAACTTGGCAAACTTCCAACTACAGCAGTTAATTTATTTTTTGCTTTTGGGCAAGTAAAAACGTGATAAAACAAATAATATGGAAAAATTCTGCTACGTTCGAATTTTCTTGGATAATAAATATTTGCAATATAAACATACTCAAGTTAACTCGAGATAATCAGGAAAGTGGTTAATTAGTTTCCGAATAATGGTTCACATAAATATTTATTTTAGAGTAGTAAGCATACAATTGAAATTAAGATGTTATTGGATGTTATAATTAAGCTAGGTCAAAATTAATAATTTAAATGCAATAGAAAAAAAAATCAGATTTTGGTCTGAAGGATATGATAAATCAAAGAGACTAAAGGGAACATTAGACAAAGAGTTAAAAACAGTAAGTATATTTGAATATTAAAAGATTACAATCAATACAATATAAAGAAAAGACTTAACAGTAGAAATATTAAGTATTTAAATACCTTTGAAACATTGGAATTTGCTTTTAGAATCTTATTTTGTTCGTCCTTTTTCTTCTGCGAATATGTTATTTTTCTTTGATGATAATCAGAAATTGATTCCATTTTTTCAAAAGCTCTCTGATGCAACTTACTGAAATCTAAATAATTTATAAAAAAGCATTATAAATTTCTTACAAAATCAATGGTAAACAAATAAAAACAGAATAAGCGATTGAAAATTCTAAAAACTAATAAGTGACATTTTACACACGTTTTAAACATTGAAAAATCCCTCACTTTTTAATTAATCTTTATTTCTCTGACTTTTGTAACTGATGTAATAAATGTAATGATGAAATTCCATGTAATAAATTTTCAACTGTTTTATTCGGGCACAAGAAAAAAAAAATATAAATAACTTTTACTTTCTATTAAAGTTTAAATTTTTTTTTAAAATCAAAAATTATTATAAGAGTAAAGTAAATATATTACCAAAGATTCAGATAAATGGCAGTATAAAAAAACATAATGGATGGTAAATATACACATTTTATTTTATGCTGCTTATATTTGACAAATAAAAAGAGAGAGTATTTGTTGCAGTTATGCAGTAAGCATTGCTATTTTTAGATTTTGACAGTGTAGTATCTTTTAATAAATGTGAAATCAACTTTTTGTAAAAAATATGTTTTAAAATTAATAAGTCTTATTTCATTTTATTTAAAAAAGAGAAAGTAAAACTTTTGTAGATATCTTCTTATTGGTGTAAATAAAGCCATAACTGAAGCATTAAAAATCTCTCTCTTAGTTTGTACTCATCTTTTCTTTCTTTCTGGAAAAAATATTAAACTTTCAGGTATTTCAAACTCAAATAACTCCAACTTTTAAATTTTTTAAAAAAAAATTTCAATTAAATTTCCTGGCAATTCTTATGATCACTTTGTTAAATGAGCTAGAAAACTATTTACAATTCTCAAATTTTTTACAAATTTAATCCAGTATTTAATTTAATCTTGTAACACAAGCTTATTGAGAGGCTTCAAAAATAAATAGGAATTTAGAAACAAAAGGTAATAAAAGAAACTAAAAAATAAGGAATTAAAAAATTGGAATGTCTTCTTTAATTTTAGGGTTCCTTATAACACTTTTCAAGTGGCTGTTAAACTTCACAGCACCTTTGTCCATTAAAAAAATAATAATAGTAAATAAAATTCTAAACATTTTGTTTCAATAATTGTTCTTCCTCTCCTCTTTTTACCGTTCAAAGTGGAACTGAAACTTTGATGTATTTAATAATGGTCTAATTGTTATTAAACTTAGACAGGTAGCTGTTTAGTCTGAACTACCCAATACACATATGGATCGTTTTATAGTTATGTAAATTGGGAGTTAATGCACGGCCTTCTTTTTTTTTTAACCAATGTGCTACAAAGTTAATTCCAAATATCTTCGAAGCAATGCAATAATAAAACAAATTGATCATTAAACACAATAAAATTTAGACTATATTATCTACTTTATAAGTAGTTTTTAACTTAACAATTATTCTATTACAAATATAAAAGGAGGATTTCAAATATTGAGTATTATATAAATATTTGCTCACAACTAAACAAAGATTATAAAATTTTAGGAAAACATTAAATTGAATTTAGGTATCAGTTAGAAATCTTTTGCAGAAAAATAATTTCTCATATACAGTACAGCATATGGAATAACAAGCAATGTAAATTTATACAGTAAAAATGAATTGCCAATAAATTTTATAATAACCATAATTTTATAATAATTCATTCTCAAGTTTTCAATTATAAATATTGTGATTTTCAACAGGGTTCACTGATAGATGTTTTAATTATTTCCAGACAAACAGTGTGTAAATAAAAATTTCAGCTAAAAAAACCTTTTCTGTAAATAAGTAGTTCAAGGGGAGCGAAAAATCCCTATTTCACATTAATATTTTTACTACGTATTTTACCAGTTCCTATTTTACCCAATACCACCCCCTTACAATAAAAAAAATGTTTGAAGATGAATTTTGGAATGTCAGATGACTGACAAAACATCAAGTCAAGCTGTTTTTCTGACAGCTGTACTAGAAAGAATATTTTAGTCCCAAACTGAACAATAGAATAAAGAAGCAGAGAAAACTTTCTTTTATGTTTAAATATTTCAGTACAAAGAAAGAAAACTTGTGTTATTTTGAATATTTAGTTAAATAAATTTATCAAGATATTCGAGATTAAGCTTTCATTTTGCATTCTTGTGAATACAAAGAATATATATATTATATTTAAAAATCTTCATTCTGTTTGCTAATACTTCATTTGATAGAAATTAAAATGGAAAAGGGAAATTAAATCATTAACACATACAAAACTTCTGAAAACTGCAAGTTTGGTGGAAGAATATGAGTTCAAATTGTTTATAACAGACATTTTAATTTCCTACAATTAAAACACATTTAATACTTAAGGACAACAAATTTTTTGACCATACTTTCTCCTGAAAATGCTTGCAGAAAACTAAAGAAACAAATATTTAAAATTGAGATTTATGTTAGAAGTTATTCTATGAGAAAATTGAAGTACATAATACGAAACATTTTAAAAATAAAAATACTCACTAGGAGTTTTCTTCACAGCGCTGGATGTAAGTTTAGATGTCGGAGTTGATTTAATGTTGGATCCTATTTAAAGTAAATATTTATACATTATTTTCAAACACAANTCATATTACTCAAAATAAATTGACTGTAAAAAAAAATTGAAAAAAAAAAAAATAAAAAAAAATTAAGACATACTAGGTGATTTTCTCACTGCACTAGAAGTAAGTCCAGGGGTCAATGCTGATTTTATCAAAGATCCTATTAAAAACATGAATTTTTAAAACAAATTTGGAACTAAGAATTTAAATTATTTAACTAAGAGAAGCTTGACTTATTAGTACGTAATACAAATTACACCAGAATTCAATCAATTAATGTATACAATAATGCTGACACTGAAGTAAAACTATGATAATCGAAAAACATTTAAGGAGTAAGTGTGTGCAGTTTCACCAAAATTTTGCACAATTAACTTTGAAAATAAACTGTTAGAGTTCATTAACAGTTTAATCTCATTACATTTATCCATAAGGAACCACATAGTATGTGGTATATTCAGGGGCAATTGTGAGCCCAAGTCAAAATTCCGGAAAATTTCTTGAGTTAAAAAAAAAAAAAAAAAACAGTTTAAATTGAAAAAATATTTATTTACTATGGATTTCAAACAGATAACAATTTAAAAATGTGTTTTTATGTATCTTTTATTTTGTTTGTTGAGGAANTCATGAATATAAGCTTATAAAGTATCTGGCTCTCCCTTACAAACAAATAAACTGTGTTTTTAAGTTCCACCTTTGAAAATTTGATTTTCGGAAACTTCTGCGATCAATGATTTTTTTTAAACGTCTGGACCTTCGATCTCCGGAAACTTCCGGATCACTGCTAGCGAAAAATCTGGATTTTTTCCGGAGCACAATCAGCCCTGTATATAAAAAATTTCCTGCCAGGTTAAAACTTGCTGCACGGTTTTAGAATTTTGTAAAAAATATTTTTGTCAAAAACTAAGTTCCAGAAGCCCCCCACTACTCTCTAATTCTCGACAACCCCTGGAACCTCACACAGAATTTTTCTCAGATAACTTTGCAATTGTTGCCTCAGATTGTTTTGTTTCATATCTTAGCTTTTGTATTTTATTTTGGTTAATTTTCCTTCTCAAAATATGTTGGAGAGAATGCCCTTGCTTGACTTTTTGTCACTTTGGCAATTGACTGATTTGTACTGAAAGTGAAGACAACAATATCTAAATGCGAAAAAATGCATTATTGCAAGTCAAATATTTGAGCTAACACGATGTTAAGTTTCTAGCAGAGAAAAGTTTTCTTCATTCATTGGCATCTTTTTTACAAAGTGAGACCTTAATTTTAATAAGAAAATAATTACTTCTAGTACATTAAAAAAAAAAAACTTTTGACATTACTTTTAAGAATAACTAATTATAGAAAAAAAAAAGCAACAAGAGAGTATTATTGAACAGGGTGCATAGCCAAATTATTCAACAAAAAATAAGCACCTTTTAAGCACTCAAAAAATATTTTTAAGCGCTTTAAAAAACATCATAATTAGGCATGGGTGGAAAGTTTTTGACAATTAACGGTTTTATCTTGTTTTAACTAGCATGTCAAAAAAAAAAAAAAAAAACTTTTGGCATTGTCTTGACAATAGTCAAAAACTATGAACTTTTGAATCATGTAAAACGGATGTTGTTTTCATACACTACGGACTGACAATACGCCGAAATAGATTGGGGTTGAATTAGTTGTGAAAACGTAGTAAACATAGTAAAGGAAAAATCTCATTTTGAAAAAGGGAAAATTAAGTACTTTTTAAAAACATCCAATGAAAAAAGCACCTTTAATAGCTTTTAAAAAACGAAAATAAGCACCTTTAAGCACTTTTTAAAAACGCTATGCACCCTGTTAAAGGAGTTTGCTTTCTTGATTTGTATTTTTGAATTATAGTTCCTTTTTAAAGCACAAATTCAAACAATTCACAAATTTAAAATTTTCAAGAGCAAATTCTTTTTCCTAGACTTCGTATTATCTAATTTTTTAAGATAAAATTTCTTGACTTATTCCTATTCTGAGGCTACTCTAACTCTTTTAAAACTGAGATATTAGCGTAGGAATCGAAAGAAGAAAAATGTTGATTTATGAATTGAAATAATTTTCAGTAAATGATACAAGCTATTATATATATAATTATAAAAAAATAAAATAAAAAAAGACTTACTTGGGGTGTTTGTCTTTGTGGATGATGAAAAAGGAGTCTTTTTGAAGCCTGGAGCTATAAAGGTACAAAAGCAACATAAGTTAACTACACCAAGCACAGCAATTCCTTAAATTTGTTTTAAAAAAAAAAACCTTACTAAGAGCATTAGATTTTGAAGATTGGGGTCGAGGTGTCTTCTGGTTGCTTCTGTGGACTATGAGAGAATTTATAATTTTTTAAGTATATTTAAATAGCAAGTAATACACATTATCATACAGTATATGCAAGTAAAGAATATATTGCATTAGCAGGGATGTTTTCCTGTTGCATACCTTTTCATAAGCCAGAAGCTATTTCCTAGGTTCAATTTCATCAATGATTTTAAAATATAAATATTGAATTAATATTCCTTTTGTAATTCGAACTGTTTAAGCATAATATAAGCCTTATTAAAATATTTAATTAGATAAAGATAAACAATCAGAATTTAAAAAGGTAGTTATGAGTTTATTAAAATAAAAAAAAGCCTTAAATTAAGGATCTTAAAAATAGTATAATAATTGTTTGTCCTAAAATACAGTGGCAATATTTAAAAAAATAAAATAAAATATTTATAATAAAAGCACTGACATTGCATTTATTATAGAACTGTTTAAAAATGGGAATTTAAAGAAATGTTACTGCTTTTTAAAAAAATTATCAATTACACATTGAGATATGATTCACATTCAGTTCTTAAAATTTTTTAGAAATAGTTTTCGTTACATACTTGAGTTCAAAAATGCTTTTGTTATTTTTCTTGGGACTTAATTTCTTTCCTAAAAGCATGTGCCATTATGTTTTATAGTCAGATTCTCCCCTACAAATGTTTATTTATTTATTTAACATTTCAATTGTCTTAAAAAGTGTTAGTAAGTGATGCAATAAAAAATGACATTTGACTGGTTATGATGTCACAGGTGCCAAATGGAAACACGCCTCTGTCACCCGGTACGCTTATTTTGATGCGGGTTTAGTTTCGATATCACTTACAAAAGCCTATGATAAGGATTTCAAATTATTAGACAGTACAGTAGCCAAATATCAATTGTATTTGCGAATTTTTGAAAGTCTTTGCCAAATGCCTATAGAAAAATGCTTTACGGTAATAAGTTTCGAACTTATATTATTTCGACCTAATTCTAATTGGTTATGCAGCGCATCAGTCAATGTAATTTTGAGTTAAATATAAATTTTTTCGTTCCAGTGGAAAAAACTATTAGCCAAAATAAAGTTTTACAAGTCAAATTTACGATTTTATTGCAAGGTGTCAAATGTTTAGCCCAAGTCCTGCTTATATCTTATGATTGTTAATCTTATACTATTAGCTACTGATTTCGTGAATTGAATTTATGCCTTTGAGAGTTTATGCAAAATAGAACAAAGATCCAGACGGTATACTTTTACTAAAATAGTTTAAGACATAGTCTAAGTTTCAACTACTCACAGAAAATCAAAATTTTTTTCCAGTTGAAGTGCGAAAGTTTAAAGAAAAAAGTATTTCACTTCATTAAATTTTAAACTAAAATAATGCTTAATTATAGCCTAATTAAAATTAGTGGCAGATTAGAAATAGGATACATTATTTGACAATTTAGTTGGTACTGCCATAAAACGAATTCGTGTTTTCAGAAAAAAAAATGTGCTTTTTATTTAAACAATCACGTAATGATAAAAAAAAAAAAAACAAGGAAAAGACACAAAGTTTGAATGGAAATTCAAATTCATATCTGCGAGAATTTGTTATTGTTCCTGAGAGTAGGTGAGACACATTTGCTGAGAAGGGAGAGAGAGAAGAAAAAAAAAATCTGATTAATGATTGCATCATAATGAGTGATTCTGAAAGCGTCAAGATTAAAAAATAAATAATAATAATTACTATAATTGACCATTAATTCCTATTTAAATGCAGCACGAGCTAATTTCAAAAAATTCCACAAAAACAATAGAAAGGAATGAATAGTTACAGTTATTCTTCAGAGAGTGAATTAAATACATATAATTTTTTTTAAGTTACATCTCAACAATGGTGTAATTATTCATTGTATCTAAGGTAAAAAATTTTATACTCTACAATTACGAATTAACAAGCTGAACAGAAAACAATTTAACTCCTTACCTGAGGAGATGGATTTGGGCTTGTCACTTGCTGGAAATGGAGTAACCATCTTTTTAAATCCTGGAGCTATAAAAGTAATATTTTAAAACAATAAATTAGCTTCTTCCAAATTTATATCAAGAATTTCTTTCAAAATAAGTTGAACATTCTTACGCAAAGCAGCAACTTTATTTGGTGTAACTTCAACATTACTTTCAGTAGCTAGAAAATAATGAAATAACAGATTATTGCTTTTAAAGTGACTTAATAGGAAAGAGATGCATATTTATACATAGTCATGCTTAATTGCTTTAATGATTGTAGAACCATATACAATTAACTTAATCATAGTCTAAGACATTTTTAATGTATAAAATGATTTTTGAATACAGAAAACTTAAATAAGATATGTATCGCAAAGGTACAAATTAGAATGTCTCAGATTTTGACAGAATGAATAATAGAATTTCTTTTTCAGAATGTTACATATTTTGTTTTAGTCATCTTGGAGATTTAGTTGGTACTTTTAAAATTTAGCCTTAGTATATTGCGGGCTCAAGCAGATTTGTGCTCTAGGTAATTCTATGTAACTCAGGCTTGGACCCCCAAACAATTGCTGAAATTCATTTCCAATAGCTAGAGGCTAGAGTCATGGGATAGAGGCAGGATTTGAAAGCAATTAGCATTTTGTAAAATTGTAGACAGTTAATTTTATGCCATTTTCAGTTGAATTAGGAAGCATTTTATGCACATAATTAACATAATGCATATGCTATCAGATGATTTATCAGAGAACATTTATCATATTCCTTACTTAAACTGTAAACGTTTACTACAACTTAGAACAGTTGTGCTTCTGGTTAAATTATAAGTGGGGAAGAAATTGACTATTACCCATAAGTTACAACTACAAACTGCATAATATGTCTATAACTTTATTCATGAATCACTTTCTTTTTGATCTGAGAAACGAAACCTAAATTCAAAGCTTCTAGTCTTAGTTTTCCCTGACATAAATTTTTTCACCTTTGTTATATTTAATCAACACTTTTAAAAGCTTAGATCTTAAAAGAAAAAGCAAAGTTATAAAATATTACAAACAATAATAATAAAAAAAAATTACATCAAAAAATTTTTTGAATACAAGAAAATAGGAAAGAGCCACACTACAGATGTGGTGAAGTTACATTGATGTTTAGAATTTCTTTAAAAGAATAATAATTTGTAAAGCAAAATATTCTTACTCAAAACAGAAGCTTTATTTGAAGATGGCATTGGTGTAGCTTCAGCATTTTCATTGGCTAGAACATAATTGAATTATGGTTCATTATTTCTAAATTTTCACAAATGTTGGAATAAATAACATGGTGAGTCATAATTAAAAAGGAGTTTCGATTTTAGAGCATCAATAGGACAAATGTTTCTTAAAAGCACAGTATGCTTACAGTTTAGTGACTTTGAAGGTTTTTAAAAAATGGCACTCAGTAAAGTTACTTTTTTAAACAAAATTTGTAAAAAAATAACTTATGACAATCTTTTCCCCTCATTTTCTTGCAGGTTTAGGACTATTTGTTCATTTTGTAATAAATAACTACACGTAAAAACGTTTAAATTACACTTTTCATTGAAAAAATTTAATTAATGTAAACAAATAAATAATACAAGAACAAAAAAAGCATTACCAAAATAGTTCAAGAATGAAATCAATCTTTTTAAAAAAAAATATTGATTACTTCAATTGATGTCTTATTTTAATGAATTTTCTTTAAGCATGCCTATTAAACAAGCCAATATATTCAAAGAAATTATTATCTTACTCCATCAAAAGCAGTTTTTACACCTGTTTAAGACAGTGTTGATTCATTCATCAACTTCATTTTGAACACCACTTTCCTCTTTGTCATTTTTATTTATGTCTTCATAAATTTCAACAGAATCTTTTAAAGCACTAGTTAAAATATCTTTATCACAGCTAAGTTATCTTTCAGACAAACATTTCCCTTGTTTTTCTCAACCCCATTACAACCAAACATGTTTTCTCTCTTAGAAAATCTCCTTATTGAAATAAAAGATTAAAATCCTCCCCTAAAAATAATTATCTTTAATCAGAGACACTGCTGTCATAAAATAGAGACATCATTTTTATTCCAACTCTGCAAAATACTATCTTTAAATAGGGACTCTTACACAGTATCATTAAACAGATTCAACAGTAACAAAGTTTCAGAACCAATGCTAAAAATAACGGTGATTTTCTAAAATCTCAAAATATTAGTGTAATTCAACAATATTAAGTTATATTCTGATTATTGACATTATAGAAAGGTATACAGATACAAACAAAAATTAAGACAATAGCATTAGTGTATAAAGATATGCTTAAAGATACCTCCTAAAATTGTGATACAATTAAAAAATTTTTTGAAACAAAATTGTTTCTGAACTAGCAGTTAAAAATGTCGCAGTTTGCAATTAAAAATTCATTCAGGCTTGAATTTGATAATTTTTTTTTATTAGCTAAGTATAATTCAACATTTAGTTCAAACCTAATTTTTTATAATTTAAAGCAAGTATTTCATCATTATTGAACAAAATATCTTTTTAAAAACAACAAGTAAAAATGTTGAAGGTGGGTGTTAACAGCAAACAGAAATAAATCTGTTTCATTACTTAATGAAAACTTGAAATTAAAAGAATCTTCAAACAATCATTTCATTATTCTGCATCTTACGCTGCTACAGATAAGTCCTGGAAAGTGCTCCGTGGAACTCACAGTGTTCCGGATTCTCCCAGTGCTACTGAAGTAGCCATGTTTAGACTTTTGACCAGACATGATTGTCTACATTCTCATTTTTTTCGCCTCGAGCTGACTACTTAATCTTTTCAGTCTTTCATGTAACTCCGGACAAGCCACGACTGCTGCGCATTTGGACACATGCTCTGCACTAAAAGACTGACTGTATTGTTAAGAAGTACTGGAGAGCTAGAAGCCTAATGACCTAATAGTCAATGGCTGGCATTTATTTAATAAATCATTACTTAATGAGGGGCTCTGATAAGAATAAAAAGCAAATACGTGAGCAGAAATATGTTTTCTTTGATAAAGAAATTTTTTACAGGGTACTAATGTCCATGTGTCCAGAATGAACCTTCTGTGAGTTAAAATATCTTTTTACATAAGCTAGAAACTGAGAAAAATGATTTTGTTTAAAAACCAAGTTTTTATTAATCATAAGATTTAAATTGTTCTAAAAGATTTTAATCACAACTTTAATTAAATTCTTTAAGAATACTCATCTTAATAAACATTAAGTTTATATTTTAAAATCATCAATTATTGTAGCTCCATTACAGATATTTGTAATAAACTTACCACATGGTGTCCTTTTGATATCTGGCAGGGCGATCGGGGTGGCAGTTGTGGATTCTGGAGAAAAAATGTGTGTATTACTGATTATTCAAGAAAATATAAATGTAATACCAAAATATCAGTGATTACAATTTGATCATAATATAAATCAACAAAAAGTTTTCATTTTGATTTTCTAACTTGCTTCCAATAACACCTAAACCTTTTGACCATAATCAAGTATAATAATGGTACAATAAGAAAAAATGATTAATTAAACAGTTCCTATTCTTACTCATTTTAATAATTTTTTTTCCAAGTAGATTTTTTCCCCACGAGAAATTGAATTTTCCCAAATATAAGCCTTTTATTAAAAATTATTAATCGAATCACTAGCAAAAACTTTAGATTCAAATAATTATTGAAAGAAATAACATAATATAGTTAATTAAATCATGTTAAATCTTTATTGTATTGGTACTAATTAATTAATAACAGATTATCTGAAACCCTTGAGGTCGAGGGGTACGGAGGAAAATTCAAATTGTTGGGTTGTCATTAGGACATTTTCATACAAATAACCCAGACCTCATACTAGGCAGGATAAATAGGGCGCAGCACCCTGCTGCCTTTTTAGTCAAAAGAATCCACCCTGTTGCTCCTGAAGTAAATTAGTGCCCTGATGTAATAGAGTCCATACCCTTTCTTTCCTCAACCCTTCTTTATTTTTCCACCAAACTCTACAATGGATTTCTTAAACTTTTCAACGCTTTTTATTTAGTTTGTCGTTCTTGTCAATACATAGATTTATATGGGAAAGGAAAAATAGCCATCACACTCCCTTATTGCACTTATCTTTGAAAGTTTGCAGTTACTTCCACTATCATTAAATCATAATTATTAATCATTTTAATTATTAAATCATAACTACAGACACATAAAACGCATGCATGCATTTTAAATAAATTACTAAGATAATTAGCTCATTTACTCGATATATGTGTTAATTTATTAATAAAAATTAGTAACTAATATGATTGCTTTGCTACTTTTAGTAAAATTAAAAAAAAATTCTTTTACTAATTGGCGCTTTTTAATAGAATGTGTAAGGCCCATAGAAAGAAATTATTGCCCTTTTGGAATAATAATGCCCCTTTTTTAAACTTTTGCACCCTGCCCTTTTTTCTGCCTAGAATGAGCTCTGAATAACCATCAAACTTTGAGCAAAATTACTCAAAATAAGTAGTGACGATAATATATATACATATAAAAGATACATTTGCGTTTTATTATTCAATTATAAAGAATGATATAATATCATGAAAAAAATCAATGCTACATTCCAAAAATCAATGCTACTTAAAATTCACAGCAATAACCACGTAACATGATTTGTAATAATGATAAAAACAAGTGCCAGAAAATTTTTGATGGCTGTCACTGAGTTGCGCAATCATGGTTCTGCTTTCTATCTTAGATTTGTTTCTAAAACTATTTTGTGAACAAAAGATCATTTCAGTAATTTTTCCACTTCTTCAGTAATTTTAGAAAACTGACAAAATCTTACTAGCAGAAAATTTCTTTAAATCCTCCTCCTTAAGTCTGCGAAGAACTATCCTCGGACTAGGACGTAAGCGTCGTTTAAGGGAATCATGAGGATCACCTAGAAAAAATTTGTTGACTAAGTAGAAAGTCACTCAATAGAAACAAGAGCAATTTTAAATTTATATTGTTCAGAATAGTAAATTAAACTAACAAAGGACTAAAATAACTAATCAATGCTATTAAATAGAAACATTTACATAACTTACCAAAAGAGTTTGATTTCTTTCCTTTTTGCTTGGAAAAGGGCATAGGTGTGGAAGGTCGTCTTACCTTTCCAACTAGGAAAATTAAAAACTAATTAGTGTTAATAAATTGAATGAATTATTAGACTTATCCTAAATTCAATAGCTATAAAAAACAAACAAATAAATGACAAAAAAAAAGAAGCAAAATTAAGCTGCTTTTTAAAGCTTCAGCAATAGGAACAGGACCAGAATTTAAGAGGGTCTGGTTAACATGGATCAACAACCAATCAGCGTTATAACAGAGTGCAAAGAGATTTTTTTAAAGGTGATTTTGGCACAAAATGGCACACCTTTATTACATTATTCTTTGTTGTTTCTCATTTTATTTATTTTTATTAAGTTGAACCAATATTTTCGATTAAACTATTGCTGCAATTTATCATAAACTCAAATCTGGTTGAAATAATAATAATAATGGAAAAAAACTAAGTGATGAATAAATTACTTTAGCAAAATAACACATTTAACATTTATTTACATAACACATGTAACATTCTTTTAGAACTATACATTAACTACTGTTTGTCTACGATAGGTACTCTAATAGACATTCGTCTGGGGGTGTGGCGGTGACTATGGTAACGAGGTATGATTATTTCAAATAGGGGTGCGGGGACTTTAGGACTGGTTTCGGTGGGAGAAAAGGAGACTTCTTTCTTTGGTCTATTGTATTAGCCCGAGAGTGAAGAGAAATGAGCATTCGCGCCTGAAACATCGTTTCGAGCGTTCGATTCCTTTTTTTAATAATCTTTTCTCTTTTTCAAAAGCTTCTGTTTTAGAAAAAAATTCTACACATTTACTTGTGTTGGAAATTGTATATTTTATTTTTCCTCTTTTAACGTTTTTGAATTTTGAGAAATGCCTTTTATATTTAAAAAAGGTGAAGTTTTAAAATCACAAGCATGTAAATTCTGCACAATGTGCTTGAGTGTTTTGCTACTGAAGCTAAGGAAAAAGCCCTTAAATTACCTCTCCATCAACCAGCTCAAAGAGCATGACAAATGGCTGCTATTGTATTAATAATTACATGCGAAACCTAAATTTTACACAGTTAATAGACATCCTAACAAAAATGCAATAAATTATTAGTCATAATTAAGAAACTAATAAACTAATTTGGATAAAACAATACTATACTTAAATAAGAATAACTCATCTATAAATTTATCATACATAGTAAATTGGTTATTAAGAAAAAAATAAATGTGCTAATAAAAACTGTTTTTAATAAATAGTGAGAAAAACTATACAGGTTACAATAAAATACGAATAAAAAAATGTAATTTAAGCACACAAAAAAAAAACTTAGATAATTTCAGATGGTTTGATGGGTGCTGATAAAAATCATCGTTGATAGTTTTAGATTTCATCCTAGTTGCGGTAACTCGCTTTCAGTTTCAAAAAAATAAATAAAAAATTAAAAAATAAATAAAAGAAACAAAGATATTTAATATTTCTCTGGCACAGATAACATGAACCATTTTTATATTCAGCAAAAGTTTTATCTCCTTTTAAAATCAGAGTTATTAAGTTTAAGCTCTTCACTTTTTCCAGAAAATTCAAGTAATAAAAGAAATTAACTGCTTTAAAAAATGTGCAAGTTTAGAAATTAAACCATCTAACAATCAATGAACATTCATAATAAATATCGTAAAATTAAAAAGTAATATTAAAAAAACCTGTACTACCCTTAATGTCAGAATNGCTTTTTAAAGCTTCAGCAATAGGAACAGGACCAGAAATTAAAAGGGTCTGGTTAACATGGATCAACAACCAATTAGCGTTATAACAGAGCGCAAATAGATTTTTTTAAAGGTGTTTTTGGCACAAAATGGCACTCCTTTATTACATTATTCTTTGTTGTTTCTCATTTTATTTATTTTTATTAACTTGAACCAATATTTTCGATTAAACTACTGCTGCAATTTATCATAAACTCAAAACTGGTTGAAATAATAACAATAATAATGGAAAAAAACTAAGTGATGAATAAATTACACATTTAACATTTATTGACATAACACACGTAACATTCTTTTAGAACTATACATTAACTAACATGGTGTTTTTTATCACAACTTAAAATCAGACAGATACAATAACGAATGCAAGCAGGCAAATACGAAATAAATCATACCACAGATTACTTAAATAAAGAGAGACATTTGTTGGTTTTCTTATGATTCAGGGATGGTTATTGAAAATTGAGAACAAAGACACAGGGTGCATAGCCAAATCTTTCAACAAAAAATAAGCACCTTTTAAGCATAAACAAAATAGTTATGATCTTGATAAAATAACTAGTTTTCGTCAAAGAACTCTTTTCTTATTTATATAAGGCCATAAAAAGATCAAGAGATATTTATCGGTTCGATTTCAGAGGGTGGAAAATGGAGAATATCTTCCAAAATGCAGCAGAGCTGCACATGAGAGTGCAAGAACCTCACTGAACCTAGCTCAGTCGCCACAAATGTGGACTTGCAAGTATTACATCGAACATGTAAAATAATTGGCGCTTTCATCAGCTATGGACCGACGGTACGCTAAAATGGATTGTGGGTGAATGAATTGCGAAAACGCTGGATAGAACAATGTTAAAAACGTGCTTTTTGCATAATATGTGCCGAAAATCGAGACACTAAGAAAAGGGGAAAATTGAGCACTTTTTAAAAACACCCAATGAAATAAAGTACCTTTAAGGGTTTTTAAAATACAAAAAAAAAAATCACCTTTAAGCACTTTTTAAAAACGCTAAGCACCATGAAAGATGCATACATTAATTAATTTTTTTAAAAGAAATATAAGCACAAATTGAAAATAAACCAATTAAAAAAAAACAATAAAAAAAACATACCACTTGTTTTCTTAGTGCATGACATTTCAGAAATGTCTAAATTTAAGTTGCAAGAAATGGAATCTGTTCCTTCACTGGTCACAGACAAACGCTTCTTTGCTGATGACAGTCGAGATGGCATTGGAGTTTTTGGTCTGCCTTTAACACTGTTATATTGAGGAGTTGCAACACTTAGTCTAGTACTTCGTCGAAGAGGTGTCACAAAACTGACTTTTCTCTTGGACTTTCGATTCTTTCTTTCAGACCCACGATTTATAGTGACATTTAAAGATTCGTCCTTAGATTGTTTCAGCTCTGGTGATGCAGACGCCATAATCATCGAAGTAGTGATAGCCTAAATATAGCAATAAATAAGAAAACCAAAACATTTCCAAAGATATAGGTCTACTAAATCTGGTTACTCAAAAAATCTTGCAGTACATCATTAAAATGAAATTAGTTTTTTTTTTTTTTAATCTAAAAAGTTTTGAGTAGCTGGCTCCTAAACATTTTGAAGACCCATGAATACATCCATGTGATAGAATTTTTTCGAGCTTACTGCGACAAAACTGTCTAGCAATAATGTCTTTCTGCAAGATACTTTCAATAATAACAGCATGCATGTTACTAATTTAAAATAGCATAAGCGCCCCCCCCCCAAAAAAAAGAAATTTTTTAAAATCGAACATATAAAAATTTTTTATTCTAATATTATGNAAAAAAAAAAAAAAAAAAAAAAAAAAAAAAAAAAAAAAAAAAAAAAAAAAAAAAAAAAAAAAAAAAAAAAAAAAAAAAAAATCATAATTAGGATCTGTGGAGTGATAATTTTTTTTCTTCTTCTATCATTTAAAGTTCTTAATTTATAAACATGAAATCAATAAAACTCAAAAACATTTTCAAAAACTTATCATATAATCATGATAAAGCAACTAGTTTCTGATAAATATTGCAGAGAATCTCTTTCTAAAAGGTAAAAAATTAAGCACTCTTTACAAACCCCAAATTAAAAAAGTACCTTTAAGGGCTTTTAAAAAACGTAAATCAAAAATAAGCACTTTTAAAAACCCAGATCACAATAAAAAAATAATGTTATACGTTATCGGGGAAAAAAAAAGATTGATGACGAAATTATGCAAATAGGATTCCTTAAAAAAGGGGTTACTCAAATGCATAATAAATAATTGTAATATCGTATAAAAAATATTGGATTTAAAAATTTGTGAGAAATCAATAGCTGTCAAATGCACGATTCGAATTTTCCATATATTGAGATATTTAAAAACCATGTGAAAATCAATAACTGTCAAAAATACAACCAAAACATTGCATGAGATTTACGACAGGGCTCGAAAAAACTCAGAAATTTTACCCGTCCCCGAGGACGGCTTGTCCAACAATGCACCTGTCCTCCGTTGAAANATTCATAATTAGGATCTGTGGAGTGATATATTTTTTTTTCTTCTATCGTTTAAAGTTCTTAATTTATAAACCTGAAATCTATAAAACTCAAAAACTTATCATAATCATGATAAAGCGACTAGTTTCTGATAAATATTGCAGAGAAAATTGTGCATTTTCCTTGTAATTTAGAACGACAATCCACATGGCAAAGAAAAAATCTCTTTCTACAAAGTAAAAAATTAAGCACTCTTTACAAACCCCAAATTAAAAAAGTACCTTTAAGGGCTTTTAAAAAATGTAAATCAAAAATAAGCACTTTTAAAAACCCTGATCACAATAAAAAAATAATGTTATACGTTATCGGGGGGGGGGGGGNGGGGGGGGGGGAGATTGACGACGAAATTACGCAAATAGGACTCCTCAAAAAGGGGTTACTCAAATGCATAATAAATAATTGTAATATCGTATAAAAAAAATTGGATTTAAAATTTTTTGAGAAATCAATAGCTGTCAAATGCACGATTCGAATTTTCCATATATTGAGATATTTAAAAACCATGTGAAAAATCAATATCAATAACTGTCGAAAATACAACTGTAACATTGCATGAGATTTACGATACCATTGGCGTAAATTAAGCTAGTCAAAAAGTGATTATCTAAATGCATGGTTCAAATATTGTGTGTAAATTTCTGTAGAAAAAACAATTCTTGTTTCACTTTTCAAAAGAAAAATCCTTCTGCAAGAACTGTGTAACGTTCTATGAAAATGTCACTGCGATTCTGCCACGGGGGCATACATTAACAAAACTTAACTCTTTTAGCACATAAACTTCCTTTAGCAATGTGATAAAAAGTCCACCATTGTTTGGCAAAATATAAAGGCAAAAATAAAATATACATTGAAAAATTTTATGAATAAAAAACATTATAATCACTGATTGCACCCAATATTTCCTTAAAATCAACCTATTTTATTCTTTAAAAATCGAAATATTTTTGAAGCTCCGAGAAATTTAGTATAGAACTCTGAGTTTATAAACAAAACTTTTTTTAATAATGAGTCAAAAAGTCCAGCTTGGATAATAGACTGCTATAAATACAGTAAAATATTAGCACAAAAAAGTTTTAAAAAACAAAAAAGTAACCATTTTATAATCAATGACTGTGTCCATACCTGAATGTTTAATGAAGGAGTATCAACAATATATGTGTCTCTTTTGGGAGTCTCACTCAATATTTGGCTATCTCTATCAAAAAGCGCCTCCTTATTCTGAAATATTACAAAAAACAAAGGTGAAATTAATACAAAAACTCGGTAATAAATAAGAATTATAGTTTTGGCACAGTTAAATATTGTAACAGTGTATTCATTACAGAAAAAAAATGGGAAAGAATTTCTCAAAAACAGGGTGAGATTTCAAAAAGTTAAGTAAAATTTCTAAAAAAAAAAAAAAAAAAAAAAAAAAAAAAAAAAAAAAANAATAAAAATAAAAAAAACATGAATAGACTTGGAAAAAAATTATTTCTTTAATTATAATACATTCTTCACATCTTCTAATTGAATATTATGCACATTGTTTAGTTTTGACCGTTTCTACCGACATTTGTTTCGTTTTCATTTGTCCGTTACGGAGTAGAAGATGTCACCTTAACAAGGTATTTGTCCATCTTACATTCATGCACAAAAAATGTAAACGTCTTACAGGAAGAAACACGGGTTCCAGAGAAATGTGTTTTGCTGTTTGCACCGGTTCTGAACAATACTGATATATAAGGAAGCTAGATAATAAGGATCAATGTTCAAAATAATGAAAGATCAAGGAAGAAGAGTGAAACGGATTTTATTCAAAATGGCTAAAGACTAAATTTTTTTTCAAAATTCGTGCATTTTTAAATTGATTAATAGAGTGCATGAACTTCTCGCGTTAATAATTTTTTATTGTGAGAAAAGAAAAAAATATGTGAAATTCTCACACTGTATTGAAAACACTGTTGTAATAAAAACAAATTGGAAAAACTGACCAACCTTTTTACAAGAATTCAAAATACTTCGTTCCATAGCAACAAAACTATCTTCACCAGCATTAGATTTCTCCAACAGTGAAGCAATAACTTTTTCAGCCTGGAGAAAAAAAAAGAGTAATGCATACAATTTTGATTTTTTATTCGACCTATTTCATTCAAATTAATTTATTTTGCCTGACAATATTATATTCTTTAAAATTATGTAAAAATTTGCATACCTTACAATTAAACTTTTAAAACTGATATTAAATAAAATATAATTTGTAAAAAAATAATAATTAAGAAATATAATCAATAAATATAAACTATTTATTATATTTGGTTTATATACAATATTGATAAACATTATTATTAATTATATTTGGATAAACGAATTTTATGATCATAAGATAAATGTTTCGATTCCCTTAAAAACTCCCAAGATATGGTCTAACACACAAAAAGTACAATCAATATTAAGAAGTCAAAACCTTTGAAAATCATATTGTTATTTATATTATATTTTTGAAAACCATATTGTGATACTTACGGTCTACAATTACTAAGTATAGGTTCACAGATATACACATGCACAACTATACATATTATATGATGCCATTGCAGTGATAACCACTGTGAATAGCTGCTATGAATGAAGGAGACAAATAAAAATGTATTAACTAAGAAATAATTGTAATCAAAAATATTTATTTAATTTCATTCCAAGAAAAATCATCATGGTTGGCAGTTACGTTATCACACAAATATTGCAGTAAGGTCAATAAGAAATTTTTATAGCAATTCCAATACAACAAATTACTGAGACTGATATCATATTTATTATAATTATAAAATTATCATACCATATAAATATCAAATTTATTTGACAATATATATTTTTGTGTATTTTCTACAATTCTTGTATAGGTGAAATTTAAAAATTAAATTATACATCAGGGGTCTGTCTAGGTTTTTCTGTGAGGTACCTATTTAAAATTAAAAATTATATTAAAAAATCAACACAAAAATGTGTTAAAAATATGGATTTATCGTTTCTTACAGGATACAAAAATAAAATTTTAAGAAAAAGTACTTTGTGAAACAACCGTTTTTTCTAAAGTTGAATTTGGGAAGGTACCGCTAAACAGTAGTAAATTCGGTTTGGACAGACCCCTGCACACGGGTCTAATAATAAAAAATATTTTAATCATGATCTTATACTCTATGCAATTATGATTCTGATTATTAAATAACAATGTCGTTAAATCAATTTAACTTCTAACTATATCAATTGTATAGAAAGCATAAAGAAACTGTTTAAATAAAAAACTTCAAGAAATGCTGCCAGTTTTGAAAATTAATAAATTGTGATGCAAAAATAGTAATTGTTTAGCGATTTTTGGCAGAATTCAGTTTCTTCTTTGTTCATAAACGATGCCTGTTCACAAAACAGCCTCTGACTATAAATATTGTTTGCAGGAGGAGAAAGATAATTTTTTTCCACTAGCTGAGTAGTGAGGCATGTTAAGCAATAACTGGTGAGAAAAGTACCCCAGATTTTTTAAGAGATGACAAAAAAAAAATGGTTTGCCAACCTTTTTACTAATATAACTTAACACATTTTTTAATATATCATTTTTAAGAATAGAATCTTTATTACATGCTAAAAAGCTGAGCAAAAAATGTTTAATACATTTTTGAAAATTTCATTTTATGGAAATACATATATTTTAATGTTGTATGTAATATTTTAATTATATTTTGCTAAGCCCAAATGGGTTTTTATATTGTAGAAATCTGAAATTCAGCATTCAAGTCTATTGTTTAGCTTATGATAAAAAAAAAAATTCTTGAATGAAGACGAATTACTAAGAATTTAGCCTTTGCGTTAGTTTTAAAATTATATGGGAGACCGATGCTAAACGGTAACGATCATAAACTAGAAAACAGTTTCCATGTNATATACTAAGACTCGAAACTTCCGGATCACTGTTAGTGAAAATTCCGGAAATCCAGATTTTTTCCGGAGCACAATCAGCCCTGCACATATCATTTTTAAGTTCGTTTGGTGTTAAATTTTCTCAGCATGCCGAAAAGGAAGGTTTTGTGACGCAAAATTATGATAAGCTTTCTAAAAGTAGTCAATGTGAAGCTTCAATGGAGATGGGGCTCCTAACTGTTTCGAAGAAATGATCAGCAATGAAGAAAATGAAATGGACGAGAATTTTGGAGAAAAATCTGATTCTAAAATTGTTACAGACATCAAAAATTGCAAAGTTATTTTCCCATCAAGAAATGGAGGTATCAGACTCAGAAGATGAAATAAACTCATCAGTGCCATCTTCAATGGAAGTCAGAAAAGCACTTAATGTATTGCGGCAAGCTTTAGAACAAAGAGGAGGAATATCGAAAACTTTAAAAACTTCTATAAACTCTCAAATGAAGTGGAAAAGTTAATTTTAAATACCGCAACTCAAGCAACCATTGATCGGTTTTTTGCAAAACTTTTGTAAATTTAATTTTATGTAGGGTTTTACTTTATTAAAATAATTAAATTAGTTAAAATAAAGCATTAATGTGGTCATTATTTCACCTTTTAAAGTGTGTGCATTTAGAATATATCGTAATATTATTTTTATTTTTTTTTCAAATGTTGAATCACCTCTTAATAAAATCAGCCGCTTAATAAAATCAAAAGAGCATAAAACGAAAGTGATTTTAATAAACGGCGGGCAGTGTATTAAAAAATCAACACAAAAATGTGGCAAAAATATTGATTCATTGTTTCTTACAGGATACAAAAATAAAATTTTAAGAAAAATTATTTTGTGATAATACCGTTTTTTCCAAAGTTGAATTTGTGAAGGTACCGCTAAACAATAGTAAATTTGACTTGGACAGACCCCTGCACATGGGTCTAATAATAAAAAATATTTTAATCATGATCTTATATTCTATGCAATTATGATTCTGATTATTAAATAACAATGTCGTTAAATCAACTTAACTTCTAACTATATCAATTGTATAGAAAGCATGGAGAAACTGTTTAAATAAAAAACTTCAAGAAATGTTGCCAGTTTTGAAAATTAATAAATTGTGATGCAAAAATTGTTTAGCGATTTTTGGTAGAATTCAGTTTCTTCTTTGTTCATAAACGATGCCTGTTCACAAAACAGCCTCAGACTATTAATATAGTTTGCAGGAGGGGAAAGATAATTTTTTTCCTCTAGTTGAGTAGTGAGGCATGTTAAGCAATAACTGGTGAGAAAAGTACCCCAGATTTTTTAAGAGATGACAAAAAAAAAATGGTTTGCCAACCTTTTTACTTTTTCCCAGTTAATATAACTGAACACATTTTTTAATATTATATCATTTTAAAGAATAGAATCTTGATTACATGCTAAAAAGCTGAGCAAAAAATGTTTAGTACATTTTTGAAAATTTCATTTTATGGAAATATATATTTTTTAATGTTGTATGTAATATTTTAATCATATTTTGTTACACCGAAATGGGTTTTTATATTGTAGAAATCTGAAATTTAGCATTCAAGTCTATTGTTTAGCTTATGATAAAAAAAGAAATTCTTGAATGAATACGAATTACTAAGAATTTAGCCTTTGCGTTAGTTTTAAAATTATATGGGAGACCGATGCTAAACGGTAACGATCATAAACTAGAAAACAGTTTCCATGTGGAAAAACTATCATGTTATTTCGAAATTCCATTCGTATTAACATTTTTAAGTAACACACATTTTATCAACGTTTTTAAAGTGACAATGTAGTTAATAATAACTCAGTTAATAAAGGTAAAATTATAGCAAAAAGAAATCTAAAAATATGTATTATAATATATAGTAACCGAAAATAAATTCCAAGTTGAATTAATGCTTTGTACATATTACAATGAGCACTGATTTGGTATTTAAAGGCATTTGATTAATGGTAATTATTTTATAAACTTATTGTGAGATCGCGTTGAAATTAAATAATACTATTTACCGTCATATTAACTTTGACCCCTTTTCTTTTGGCTTCTTTCTTTAGTTCAGAGTTAGATAATTTTTGAAGAGACTCCTCATTAAAAGAGTTCATCGTTTAATTTGAGCCTAACTTACCAAACAAAAACAATTAATAATGATTTATTTATAAAAACTGTTATAGTACTTCACCGCTAAAAAGTTTCAAATCAAATGTTTATGCACAACGTTCATTGGGTAGAATGTCTGTTGCCAAATTCAATTTATAATGTAGATTTAATAGGCTGTAAACCGGTAGTTAGGGCTTTTCTTCTGCACTTTTCGGGTAGTTCTCACTGTATGTGTTTGACGCACTTCTGATCACTTTCAAGGGAGAATAAGAGTCTGATTAGTGGGAAATATTTTCTTTCGAGATATTCACAAGTCAGCTTCTTTATTTATCTCAAAATTGATTAGTTTATGAGTCACATACAGTGATAATGGCTTTTAATTGGATCACATTCTACCTGATTGCTGCAAACACGCTTGCAGCTGCTTAAAGGCCATTCTCGCTGTATGCGAAAAAGATCAGCAAGTTTTTCAAATGAGAAAATATTTCTCTGACCCAGTTCTTATCAAGTCCCAGATCTCATTTTTTGCAAGCAAAAAGTCCCACAGGGGACTGATCGTTAAGACACGGTTCCCAGCAGATCACCGAAGTCATGCATCACTGCCTACGGTCAGTGAGCGGGTGGGTGACCACTTGGATCAGCCTGCGTAGGGACCGAGGGTGCGTGGTATTAGTCATCGTTAAACTGTTCTACCGTAAAGTGCTCAACTTTGCGTGTAGGTCGTCGGGCTACCGAAGCGGGGGTGCCATCTCCTCTGCAGAGCATCAAAATTGTGATGGCATGTCTTTGGATCATCCTCAGGAATATTTCCCAGATCGTCGCCAAGTGCCCATTGTGCAGCTCTAGTGCGACGTAAATGAACAACAACAACAGCAAGCAAAAAAAAGTTATATTCAGTGAGAATAGTGCTTTAGAAACCACATTGTTTAGAACCATTCTCACTGAATGCTATTTTTAAGCAAGCGAAAAGTAGTATCCAGTTACATGTAAATGAGAGACGGATTTTAAAAAAAAAATAGTGCGTGGAGTCCCTCCGAGGGGAAGGAGTTAAACTTCGCAACCTGCGACGTTAATTGTAGAAGAATCAGCAGTCGTAGAAGGATCACTAGTTCTATTCTCTATTCAACGACTCTTTTTCCTGCTCCGCTCGCTTCAGTGCTCTGTAATCACGGTAATATTGTGCATTTTTCCCTCGTGGACCTCTTGAACCAGTGGAAGTGCTTGTGGTTGCCTCATCGCCTCGCCCTGGAAAATGTATTTGTATTAATAATGTATGTGAATGCGTCATAATGTAATTTCAGAAGAGAAAACCTAACAATCAATTGATATTCACAAGATTCGTACCTTGACACAACCTTAAATCCGTCGCATTGTCTGTGGGATTGTTTTCACTCATTTTTTACAGTTGTTATCCACTGAATTTGAAAATAAAAAATACTACCCTAAATTGGGCATAATATGAAAAAAAACACAACTACTTCGATTTAGTAGGAACAACATATGACGCAATGCTAAACGAATGGAATTTAGTTGTTGTTTATTTAGTTATTGTTATTAGTAGTTGTTGTTATTTGTTTTAGTTGTTGTTGTTTATTTAGTTGTATTTAGTTTCAATAACTTTTCTTTATAATGCAATAAAATCTGGCTAGCAGCTATTTAAACAATTGAACACTTCGTTTGTTTATTTGTGGCTTGAAGTTAGGCTCGCAGAAAATGCCGTTCATGGGTTAAATTTAGTAGGAACAACACAACCTGTGACGTAGGCTATATTATACCCAATTATATGTGTATCAAAACTAAAAAAATATTTATAGAAAAACAATACTTTTATGACTTTTGTAACTTTTATGACCAATAAAAATGTAGCGTTAAACGTTTCACGCAACCTTGTTGGAAGTCGCATAAGAAGTATAACTTTAAAAAAATATTAGCCCAGGAAAAATTCGTCGAGCATGTTCTCGTTCGCATGCAGCCAATTGCAACAAATGTGAATGGCTCAGAAGACGAACTGCTCGCACATGCGCAAATCTCATTAATACAATCTATGTAAATGACACATGCATTAAAGCTTCGTTGATTTGTCGGATTTCTTCGAGCTAGAATATATTTTATTCAGATACATATTGATTATGAATTGTGTTTTCTATGTAAATGTTAGTAACAACAATCTCGAACTCTTGACCTGCTTTACTTATAGGGTTAGAAAGTATACATGTACTTACTACAGCCTATTCTATTTTCAAACTGATAATTTTGTTTTTGATAAAAGAAATAAATTATATAATTTCTAAGCTCAAATCTGCTGTATTTCATGAAATATTAATGATATTAAGTAATTCTTTCGAGTTTGAATTGAAAATTTGTTTTCATTATTTAGGTAGGTAGGTATTATTATTTACGTCGCAATAGAGCTGCACAATGGGTTATTGGGAACGGTTTGGGAAACATTCCTTAGAAAGATACGAAAACATGTCATTGTAATTTGATCCTCGGCAGAGGGAATAGCTCCCCTGCTGTGGTAGCCAGAGGATTTACGTGCGAAATCAAGCAGTTTACGAGCAGTCGAGCAGTTTAACGAGGATCGAAACCCGCACCCTCGGTTGTTACGCAGGCTGATCAGAGTGGCCACCCACCTACTGACCGCAGATAGCGATGCTTGTCTTCAGTGTTCTACTGGGAATCGTGTCTTTACGGTCAGTTCACTGCGGGACTTTTATTACTTAGAAATGTATTGTTAAAAAAGGTGACATGCTTGCAAGATTTAGAAAGAACTCGCTTTTTTGGCTGTTCTGATTTGATCTCTTTTTACTTGTTTATTACTGCTTGTACTCGTTGCAAGTCGTGCATCATCATATGCTAATGTTAGCATATTGTTCAAGCAACGAGATAAAGTTAATTTTACAAATTATCATTTAGGTTTAAATTTCTGATTTGGAATATCGATAACAAGGTAAGAAGTGTTTTATGTATTACGATTCTTCTTTTTCAAATAACAATTATGACTTCTTGAAATAACAAGTCTTTAAATGATGATTCTTCTCTTAAACGCAAATAATAAATCAGGTAACAAATACACGTGTACAAGAAATACTACTCAAGAGAGTCTCAAAACACAATAATCATGCTGTGAACTAATTGGTATCAAAACTAGCCAAAAACAGTATCTCGGAATTATAGACAATCAAGAACTTGTAGCGCTAGTGTAGAACCATTCATACAAGTCAAACTATTCACTCTAAAATAGTTTTGAAAAGTGATACTCTTTTATTACCCCCAGGTCGATACGTTATTTGTTAGGAGCAAGCTGAGTTTTCTTGGAGTTTTCCTATTCTTATCATGATTCTATGTCGATTTACGGCTTATGGCATTTTTAGAATTTATAAAATAGCGAAAAATCTTATAAACGAAAAAATGTGGCGTAGGTTTTGAATTCAATCTCAGTAATAAAATGTTTTAAAATTTCAAGCCTGTTTACGCTTCATTTCGTAAACAGAACATAAGCTGAGCTTTACCCGGAAAGTTTTCAGAACTCCGTTCCGTTTTTAGAATTTTGTTACTGTTTAAACTCAGTTAACCATCCATAAACGAGAATAATTAAAAAATGGGAGGCAGTCTAAAATGAGAAAGCTATTGAAACATCAAAAGCACGCCCAATTATTTTTTAAACTATATTACCTCTACAAATAATCGATATCGACACAGTCTTTTGAACAATTTGAATAAATTTAGGTTCAAGTTAAAAAATTTTAAAAAATTTTCAAAACGTCAATCACTTGATGTTAAGTAGACAAGTTCTTGTAAAGACATTCGTGATTGCAGCTCTCTGATATGCTTCCTGGATAAAAAATGTGGTTCTTTGTATAAAAATTTCTTTATATCCTTTCCTTTACATCTCAGTTGTTTTTCTGGTTCATAATACAATATGCCTTCTTCATAACACTTTTAAAGTTTTTTCAATACTTCTTTTAAGCACTGTGAAAAATGTAGATTTGAGTTCCACCATATAGTTTCCACACTTCATATTTTTTATGGGTTCGAAAATCAGAACAGAAATAACGTACTTTTAAAATGACTGTTCACAAGCTCATGCTAAGTATTGCCATTGGTAAGGAAAGGTTACAGATAAGTTCAATTGTCTTATCCTGATGGGGCCCCTCCATTTGAGGAAAAAGGAAAAAAGATGCCGAACTTACTTTTGCGCCGGTACCTTGTGGTGCCTCGGGTTGCCTTAGGTCTAGTTTACAAGCAACGTATCACAGGGGCTGACAATAACGTATTAGCGTATTACGACATAAACACAAGTAGGAAAAATAAGAGAGATTTTGGCCCTTCCCATACCACTTTGTTCATTCATATGAATGCTGTTTTTTGCACTAGGTAGCGCTGCAAGTTCTTGATTGCCTATACTGACGGGTTGCTGTTTTTGGTGTATTTTGAAGCCATTTGACTCACAATGTGATCATTGTGTTTTAAAACTCTCTTGAGTAGTATTTCTTGTATACGTGTATTTGTTATTTGATTTACAATTTGGGATTAAAAGGAGGATCATTATAAGAATCGTCATCTGAAGATCTGTCATTTCAAGATGTAAGAATTCTCATTTTAAAAACCAATCCTTATAAAACACTTCTTACCTTGTTAACAATATACCAATTTCGAAATTTGAACCTAAATCATAATTTGTAAAATGAATTCAATCTTGCTGCTGGAACAATATGCTAACACTAACTTATGATGGTGCACGGCTTGCCTCAAGAACAAACAGTAATAAACAAGTAAAAAGAGGCCAAACTAGAACTGCCAAAACAGCAAATTCTTTCTAAAACTAGCAACCATATCACCTACTTTAAAAATACATTTCTAATTAAAGAAAACAAATTTTCACTTCTCACCAGAATGACTTAAATCATTATTATCTTATAAAATACAGCAGATTTGAGCTCAGAAATTATATAATTTATTTGTTCTATTAAATGCAAATTTACCCGCTTGAAAATATCACCTCATAGAATAAGCTGCAGTCATCAGCTGTATACTTTCTACCTGGAAGTAGCGCAGTTCTAGAGCTCGAGATTGTTGTTGTTTACATTTATACATCTAAATACATGTTTACAATACA